TATGTGTATATATATATGATATATATATATCATATATATATATACGATATATAATACACTCACACACAGAGACACATAGTCTTTACTTTTACTTCTTGTGGATTAATGGAGAAAGGCTATATAGTGCAATTTTTTTTAGCTTTTCTAGCAAGATTCTTTTTTTTTCTCCATGAATGTGATGGCCAGAATTTGTTCATACATATGTGATCCCTATGTATGCATATGTATGTATCCATGCATGCATAGGGATCACATCAGATGCTCTATTTAGCTATCTGTATATATATGTGTGTGTATTTTATGTACACGTGTGTGTGTGATATACATACACTCTTTTGTTTTTTCTCATTGGATGTCTCACATCCAGGTGTTTCAGGAGAGTTAGGAGTGCCTAATGGAAACATCCCCTACAGGGGAGCAGATGGTGGCATGGCAGTAAAACGTGACACTCTCTGCAAGGCAGTCCACACCTATCCACATGGATAGGTGCCTGGTTCAGGTCTGGAGACCCCCAAGAGTACATTGGACACGTACTTGCCTGTAATCTGGGGTTGGTTGTGGGTGGATCTTGGCATCAAGTCTGTTGGGGAAGGGGAGGGCTTCTGTTTTTGTCTTGTTCATAGAAGAAATAAGTGAACTTCAAAAAAGAAAAGAAGTTATCTTGCTGTCTCAGCAATCATACTGCAGGTGGTAGGGCACTGCTGCATGATACTGGCACCATGTAGAAGGCCCTGGGTTCAGATTCCCAGGTCAGCCTGAACATTTCAGGTGGACTTACGATCCTCGCTGCTGGCCTGACGGCTGGGGGAGGATCATGGCATGGTGAGACGCTATCACTTGTGTCTCCCCTTCCATTCCCTCAGTCAGTCAATAAGCATACAGAAAAATTAATAGTAATTAAGAAAAAGTTCTCCTGTGGTAAATGTATCTGTAGGCCACTCGTAGATAATTACCAGAGTACTTATTTTGAGGTTTTCTTAAGCAGCCTTTGTTCAATAACTTCTGGCATGTGCTTTTTTTCTTTTTTTAAAAGAGAGATTTTTGCTGTAGGGCGTGTGTGCTTACCAGAGAGACAGAGAGAAATACACAGAGAGAAAGTGAGAAATCACCTCCTGGGGGCATGGTCATGCTGCAGTCCCTTCTCCTCCATTCTCCTCTGGGGATTTTGGGCACCCACACACATGTACCTGGTGTGAGTTTTAAGCCTTCAGATCTGGGACTTGAACCGCTGTTGACCATGTGGCAGTCCAGTGCTTTAACCACTGCACCACCTGCTGGCCCCTGGCATGTGCTTTTCATTGACTCAGCTTCCTTTTGCTTTCTGACACTGAGGAGTTAAGTGTGAACTCTATAGGAAGACTTGAGTCTCTTAGAGAAAAGAGTTAATCGCACCACATATATTCTTTAGATTAACGGTGATGTATTACTAATGATATCTTTTTTACTTTACCTATTTTGCTCATGAGGTTGTCAAGATGTACATTGAAATCTAAACTTGGTGTTCACAACTTTAATAGAAATCAAGGACATGGAAGTTGATAGCAAAGATACACTGAGTGACTTGGGTTTAGGATTCCAGCTTCAGAGTCAGCTTTCCTTTCCACACACTCATTTTATTGGAACAGATAGGAGTGATTAACTCTTCATGGGGAATCGGGAAAGTATGATTTTTTTTTTTTTTTTTTCGCTATAGGGCACGTGCGCTTGCCAGACAGGCAGAGAGAGACAGAGAGACAGAAAGCGAGAAATCACGCCCCCGGGGGGATGGTCACGCCGTAATCCCCTCTCCTCCATTCTCCCCTCGAGATCTTCAGCACGCACACACGCACCCGGCGTGAGTTTAAGCCACTGGGTCCGGGCCTCGAACTGCGGTTGACTACATGGGAGCCCAGCAACATAGCCATTATGCCAACTGCTGGTCCCAGGAAACTATAATTTTTAAAACTTGAATCCTGGGAAAGATTGTGCTTTGGTAGTCCAAACTACCCCTACCTCACTCCATGACAGTTTTCTTGCTGAGAACTGTGGTCTGTTTTTTGTTTTTGTGTTTTTTTACATTGATTATTTTATTTTGTTGCCTGGTTACCAAATGAAATGTAGAAGTGTAGAAATGTAGAACTTTGTGATCCATATATATCTTTATTTTATTTTATTTTATTTTATTTTTTTGAGAGATTTTTGCTATAGGGCACGTGCGCTTGCCAGAAAGAGAGACAGAAAGCGAGAAATCACCCCCCCAGGGGGGATGGCCACGCCGCAATCCCTTCTTCTTCATTCTCCTCTTTGGATCTTGGGCACACATGCACCAGGCGTGAGTTCAAGCCACCAGGTCCGGGACTCTAACCGTGATCGACTACATGGTATTACCGAACTCAAATCAGGTTCGCTTGCCCAAGCGCTATAAAACCAAACCGTAGGCACATGGTGTGATGAAGGAAAGTACAGCTTTATTGCAAAGCGCAAAGCAAGGAGAGTGGGCAGCTCATGCTTAAAAGACCCAATCTCCCCGAGATGTTCCCCACACGCGTTTTTAAGGGCAAAAATTAGGGGCAGAGGTCCTAGGTGCATGATTAGTTTAGTGATTGATTTAAGAGGGCATGATTATCTCATGGGTATTCTTGATTGGTGAGGCCTTAGATAATCAAATTTCCCTTCAGGTGTCTGTAACCGTTCAGCCTGGAGTCTTTGAGCTCACAACCAGTGGTTTTTGGCCTATAAAGTATCTAACATATTGAAATGAAAACCATATCTTCTCTTTAATGAGAGTTTTAGAGGTCAAATGGCCCTCACTCATGGTCCGTGTTGGTCATTATTATAACCAAAATCTGAAGACTTACTCATTATTCTGGGCCATTATAATGTAAAATGGACTTTACATTTTAGGATCCCTAGAAAGTACTTTAGGGGGTCTTTGCTTGGTTTCAATGGGAGTCCAGCGACATGGCCATTATGCCAACTGCTAGTCTCCTGCTTTATTTATTTTTAATGCCAGAAGACATGTATACTTACTAAAGAGAAGGAAATTGAGAAAGTACCCACATTGGGGAATGGTCATGCTGCATTCTGCTCTTGGGATTTTGAGTGCACACACACACACACACACACACACGTTTGGTATGTTTTTCGAGCCACCAGGTCTGAGATTCGAGCTGTACATTTGGCCCTGTGGGATCTGGCTACCGTAACCATCACGCCATCAGCTGGCCCAGTATTTCCCACGTCTTAGAATCTTCATCCTTGATTGTAATTAACATTGAGCCATATATGTAAGATATATTCCTTGATAAGCTGTTTTGAGGAAAAGCGAATTTTACTTTTCTCTTGAAGAGTGAACACTGTTATTTTCCAACCATTTGAATAGCCTGTCTATCTTTGTATGCCATCTGACATAGAGTTTCTTAAGATATTTTTTAGATGGTATATAAACCTTTCAAAACTTGTAGGAAATGCCAGAAAACTACTAACTGTGCTTTTGTGGTTTAAGCTACAAGCTAAATAGGTAATTTAGGCATGATGACCAGCCAAGCTTATTTGTATTATTAAAATATGATTTCGGCATACAATTTCCTGATTCGCTGTCCAGTGAGTTTGACAAACCGCTTCAGTTTGAAATAAATTCTTAACATCTTTTTGTTCATTCTGTGGTTACCTCATGGCCAGGAGAAAAGCTACGAGTCCTTGGTTACAACCAGAATGGGGAATGGAGTGAAGTGCGCTCTAAGAACGGACAGGGCTGGGTGCCGAGCAACTACATCACCCCAGTGAACAGCCTGGAGAAGCATTCCTGGTACCATGGCCCTGTGTCACGCAGTGCGGCCGAGTATCTCCTCAGCAGCCTGATCAACGGCAGCTTCCTGGTGCGAGAGAGCGAGAGCAGCCCTGGGCAGCTGTCCATCTCGCTCAGGTACGAGGGACGCGTGTATCACTACAGGATCAACACCACCACCGATGGCAAGGTGAGGCCTCTGGGCAGGGCTGGCTGCTCTAGAAACAATGCTCAGAACAGCTGAGATGGGAGAGCGTTTTATGTCTGACATGAAATATTTGTTAACCGTGAGTTTGGGCTTTTTGGCATGTTAGAGAGAGCTTGCTCTTTTCTAGAGAATACAGTGTTGGAACGAAAAAACAGTGTTATATTAATAGCTTCACGTAAGCAGGATCTCAAGGTAAAGAATGAAGGGAAACTGCTTTATAAGTCGGCTGTTCTAATCATCAGTGCACTATGCATTGTAGTGTGTAGAACTTATGGTCAACCTTCTATCTGATAACTAGAGTAATCTGCTAGAAAATTCAGAGTAAGTACTTGGGCTCTTGGCCCACCTGGTGGCTCAGTGGTCATTGTCAACCCTTTTCCATGCTGGGCCCACATGGGAAGGCCGTGGGTGTGCTCCCCAGAGTCACCCTGTACACACCTGGTATGCACACATGCTGTGGTCCAGGCCAGCTGGGGTGCGCTCTCTCTCCTTCCCCTCCCTCTTTTCCTTTCTTGGAAGAAATAAATGAACTTTTGAAAATTAACTTCTAAGACCGGTGTTGATCATGAACATATGTTAATATAAATAGATCACTCCGTCATTTATCAATTAGTGTTTGGGAAGACTCCGTTAGAGTGGATGTGTTAGTATGGAACCATTATAGAACATGGGCTTATGGCACTTGTTCTTCTGTCGAATCCTGAATTTAAGCTGAATCTTCCCTTTGCTCTTGCCCTCTGTGTGATATCTGCAGTGGGGGAAAGCACATGCTGGGAGCAGGCAGAGCTGGCGTGCTTTGTAGCTGTGCCATTTATTAACTTTGACCTTTTGTAAGCCTCAGGTTCCCTTCTAGGATTAAATCTCACTGTGGGATTCTTATAAGGTGTATTAGTTCATTTTCCTGTTGCTGTCACCAAATACCAGAAAGTAGTGATTCATAAGGAACAATTTTATTCAGCTCATGGTTCTGGAAGTCCAAGGCCAAGTGGCTGCATCTGGCGAAGGCCTTCTTGCTGGTGGTGACTCTGCAGAGTCCTTGAGGGGACTCGAGGTGTCACATAGTGAAAGGACAAGAGCGGCCATCAGTTCTTGTTGCTCTCCCCCTTATAAAGCCACCAGTGTCAGTTGTGGGGGCCCTGTCATGATAACTTTATCTAATCCTAACTACCTTCTAAGGGCCCTACTTCTTTTTTTGTTGTTTAGAGGGTATTTTGCCTTAGGGCACATACAATCACCAGAGAGAAAGAGAGGGAGAGCGATCACCCCCCTGGGGGGATGGCCACATTGCAACCCCTTGTCTTCCATTCTCCTCCTAGGATCTTGGGCATGCACGCACATGAGTCCAGCATGATTTTGAAGCCACTCAGTCCAGGACTTGATTTGGGTCAGCCATGTGGGAGTCCAGTGACATAACCACTGTGCCATCTGCTGGCCTGTCCCTACTTCTTAATATAGTGGTGTTAAGTTTCTATCCTTATGAATATTATTACTTTTAATGTAAGAGAGTGAGGAGGAGGCACAGGAGGAAGAGAGAGATCTTCGACAGGGGCTTGCCATGTTATGATCCTTTCTGCCCTGCCTCCCAGTTAGCTAGGACCACAGGTGGCTGTAACCTGGCCATCAGACAGCAGCACCTCCTCCTGTGCCACTGTGGCTGGGTCTCCATCCTTTTTTTTTTTTTGGAGAGATTTTCACTGTAGGGCGCGTGCGCTTGCCAGACAGACAGAGAGAGACATAGAGACAGAAAGTGAGAAAAGCGAGAAATCACCCCCCAGTGGGGATGGTCACGCCGCAATCCCTTCTCCTCCATTCTCCTCTCGGGATCTTGGGCATGCACGCACACGCGCCTGGCGTGAGTTTTAAGCCACCGGGTCCGGGACACAAACTGCGGTCGACTACGTGGGAGTCCAGCGACATAGCCATTACGCTAACTGCTGGTTCCCTCCATCCTTTTAATACCATCACAGTAGTAATGAAATTTCAGTACATGGGAGCACACATTACACCACAGCCTAGGGATAAGATGAAATGACATTGTAAACTACAGTGGCTGGTATAAAGTAGGGAATAAGTAATTTAATAGTCCTGTTTTTCTCTTGCATCATGATGCACATGTGGTGGTAAGAGAGAAAAACAGCAGACTGGGACCTGCAGGTGGTGTAATGGTTATATCGCTGGACTCCCATGTAGTCTACCACAGTTTGAGTCCTGGGTCCAGTGACTTAAAACTCATGTTGGGGGGAGGAGGGGGGCGGGCAGGTGGCGTGGTGGTGCTGGATTTCCACATGGCCAACCATGGTTCGAGTCCCAGACCTGCAGGCTTGCTTTCTCACATTCCTTTTCTCTCTGTGTCTGTCTCTGGTCAAATAAATAAATAAATAAATAAATAAATAACAAATGGAATTAAATAAATAAATTATTATTAAAAAAAAAAGGGATTAGTACTCACGCAAGGTACGTATGCGTGCGTTCTCAAGATCCCAAGAGGAGAAGGGATTATGGTGTGGCCATCCCCCCTGGGGGGTGATGTCTTACTTTCTGTCTCTGTTTCTCTCTGTCTCTCTGGCAAGTGCACACGCCCCATAGCAAAAATCTTTCATAAGAAAGGAAGAAAAACAACACGCTAAATCTAATGTCTATTGACCAAACCAAGTAGAATCAGGTAAGTAAAAGTGTGAGGCCCAGCAGGATATACCGCCAGAAACAAGTGCATATGTGAACCCAAAAGCTTGTACAGGAATGTTCATAGCTGCGTTGTTTGTGGTAGCCAAGAAGTGGAAATGCCCAAATACTATAGCGAGGATAGAATGGATTAATAAATGGTGGTATATTCATAAAGGGAAGCTCATAAGCAGCAGAAAGGAACATCCTGCCGTTATGCACAGCAGCATCAGGGAAAGCCACGGCCCACCAGCCATCTGCTTTTCTGAGGCCGGTTGTACGGGCGGACAGCCGCAGCCGTTGTGTGTGTTCCTGACAGCGACTTCCCATTATAGGCAGAGCTGAGTAGCTGCGCCGAGGCCCAGTGCCACTAGCCTGAGATATTTAGTATCTGATCCTTTACGTGAATGTGTGCTGGCCGCCACTGTGCATTAGCCTCACACACCACAGAGAGCTGAGTGAAAAGAATTAGTGGTTGCCAAGGCATGGGATGAGAGGTGTGGGAATGACCACTAATGGGTTTAGGGTTTCTTTTTGGGGTGATGAAATGTTTTAGAGGTAAATGGTGGTGATGGTTGGACAACCTTGTGAATATTCTAAAACCACCAAATTGTCTACTTTATTGTTTTGGTTGACAGAGGGCACATGTGCTTGCCAGAGACAGAGGGAGGGAGAAAGCACCCCCCGATGGGACATGATAACACCCTGTCAGGATTTGGGGCGTGCATGCACACACTTGGTGTTATTCAAGCCTCTGGGCCAAATTTGAGCTTCATTTAGCTGCGTGGGATCTGTCTTTCTTAGCCACTAGGGTTCAGGGCTGGCCCCAGAATTGTACACTTTAAAATGGTGAATTTTATGGTATGTGAACTATATTGCAACATAAATGTTAAGTGAAAGAAAGCAGTTACAAACAGTACATATTTTATTTCATTTGTACAGAGTTGGGAAGCCAGCAAAGCCATTTTTTTATATAATTATTTTTATTTAACTTTATTTATCATTATTATTTTTTAATATTTCCAGATAGATACACACAGAGAGAGAAGGAAAGTGAGAACGCAAGTCTCCAGGTCCAGGACTCAAACCACGGTCGGCCATGTGGGAGTCTCGTGCCTTTAACTACCATGTCACCTGCTGGCTCCTCCTTTTTTTAAAATAATTATTTTTATTTTGGACCAGCAGTTGGCATAATGGCTATGTCACTGGACTCCCCCCATGTAGTCGACTGTAGTTTGAGTCTCAGACCTGGTGGCTTAAACTCAAGCCAGGTGCATGTGCTGCATGCCCAGGATCCCAAGAGGAGAGTGGGATGTTTTTTAATATTTCCACATAGATACAGAGAGAGAGAAAAGGTAAGTGAGAAAGCAGCCAGTAAAGCTATTCTAAGATGTGAGAGGTCAGCATGGTGACTTCTTTTTTTTTTTAGAGAGAGATTTTCGCTATAGGGCGCTTGTGCCCGCCAGACAGACAGAGAGAGACATAGAGACAGAAAGCGAGAAATCACCCCCCAGGGGGGATGGGCACGCCGCAATCCCTTCTCCTCCATTCTCCTCTCGGGATCTTGGGCACGCACTCACACGCGCCTGGCGTGAGTTTTAAGCCACCGGGTCTGGGACGCGAACCCCGGTCGACTACATGGGAGTCCAGCGACATAGCCATTACGCTAACTGCTGGTTTCCTGAATCTCTTAGCATGGTGACTTCTTCACATGAGTACATAGTATATTATTCTTGTGTAGGTAATGTGTGTGTAACTGGGCTTGTTTTGCAGAAGTCATCAATTCTTAGGACCGAAAGGTAGTGTGGAGGTTAAGGCACTGGAACCTCCAGGGGTCTTCCCTCCATGGTTCCAGGTCCCAGACCCAGCAGCTTAAAAATCATGCTGGAGGTGTGTACGTGCATATCCAAAATCCAGAGGGGAATGTGGAGGAGAGGGGATTGTGGCATGGCCATGCCCCCGGGGAGGTGATTTCTCGCTTTCCCTCTCTGTCTCTATCTGATGAGTGCACGTACTCTATAGCAACAACAACAGAAATACTAGTTTATGAATTGTGTACTGTTCCTGAATACAAATTTCTTTTAAAAAAAAACAGATTCTGGGACCAGCAGTTAGCATAATGGCTATATTGCTGGACTCTCACATAGTTGACTGCGGTTCGCGTCCCAGACCCGGTGGCTTAAAACTCACACCGGCGCGTGTGCATGCGTGCCCAAGATCCTGAGAGGAGAATGGAGGAGAAGGGATTGTGGCGTGACCATCCCCCCCCGGGGGGTGATTTCTTGCTTTCTGTCTCTATGTCTCTCTCTGTCTGTCTGACGAGCGCACGCGGCACAAACCTCTAAAAAAAAAATTAAAATTAAAAAAAAAAACAAAACAGATTCTCTTGAGAGCCAAGTCCAAAGCACTTCTTAACTGCTTTTCACAAATTAAGAACTACAGTATTATTTTAAACAGCTTAGACACCAAAAGCATATTATAGTTAAATAAGAATTATAGGGAACCAGCAGTTAGCGTAATGGCTATGTCACTGGATTCCCACATAGTTGACCGCGGTTCGCGTCCTGGACCCGGTGGCTTAAAACTCACGCCGGGCGCGTGTGCGTGCATGCCCAAGATCCTGAGAGGACAATGGAGGAGAAGGGATTGCAGCGTGACCATCCCCCCTGGGGGGTGATTTCTCGCTTTCTGTCTCTCTGTCTCTCTTTGTCTGGCAAGCGCACGCGCCCTATAGCAAAAAAAAATCTCTCAAAAAAAATTATATTTAAATATATTCCTGTACCAAAAAATCTAAATTAAGTTATGATGCATGCCCATGATCCTGAGAGGAGAATGGAGGAGGGATTGC